GATTTTTAAAGTACAACTCCAACAATCATTACTGCCACTACTTTCACCACTACCGCAACCCTCTCCTCCAGTATCACTGCCATCTTTACCACTACCACCTCCCACTACCATTGCCGTCATTATCACTACTACCACCACTGCCACTATCTCCATGTCATCACCTCTGCCACCATGGCCAATACAACCTCTACCATCTTCGCTGTCATCAACGTCACCTATACTGCCCCTCTCTAGCATTGTTACCACAACAACCTTCTGCCACTATCGTCGGCCGTCACCACCATTCCTATACCAGCCTACCATTGCCCTTTTTCCACTCCACTATTGTCACTATCCAATGGGCGTGTCCCCATCACTAATACCACAGACCTAACCACCATTGCTTCCATCACAACTCTTGCCATAACCATCATCTCCAGCAACACTACCATTATTTTATACATTACAAAGATATTACTATCAAACACAAAATTATTAGCTTTTGACATTATCTATGTATCTGAATACTAGATATGTTTTTAATATTTTCCTTTTGAAAAAAAATTCATTATTAATTTAAACTAACATATACATTATCTGATGATAAAAATGTAAAATTGTATTTGTCTTTTGAGTACCCAATACGACTTGCTTATGTGGTCCACTAAGTTTAAGACGCCTACTATTATAAGAATTAACACACAACCAAACGGATCAGGATCCTCTCCTGATCTTTGTATGGGGATCCTCATGACCAACAAGTGTGGGCCGTTGGATGAAAATCCAACGGCTACAAATAGGGGGTCCCTTTAAAGTTATAATAATTATAGCCGTTGGATTTTCATCCAACGGCCCACACTTGTTGGTCATGAGGATCCCCATACAAAGATCAGGAAACGATCCTGATGCCAACCAAACACCTTTTAAACACACAACCAAACACCTCCTTTCTTTCTCCCTGCAACTTTTTCACCATTTTCCCTCCACCTTCCTTCGTCTAGGACCAATCACCATGGCTGCCATTTATCATACTTGTAAATAAGAAAAAATGATCGGACTTAGTCAATCTGTTCAAATAGAATCATGCCCTTCTTTAGTCCTCAGTAACACTGTCACGAAATCGATGGTAATGAGATCCCACTCACACTCGGGAATAAGGAATGCCTGACATAAGCATGCAGGTCGTTGATGCTTTGCCTTACTTGTTGACAAGTCAAGCAATGTGCTACAAACTCTGCAATCTCTTTCTTCATGTTTCCCCACCAGAAACTCCCACCAACATCCTGATATATCTTCGTGCCCTCGGGGTGAATAGAAAAAGTAAAAGTATGAGCCTCCTTCATGGCCTCCATCCATAGATCTTTGACATTTAGAACACTAAGTTGGTATAGAAATGCGGTTGTTCACATCAGATATTACTTATAAGGTGACATAGAAATGTGGTATAAAACCATGGTATGAATAACATTACTCTTATTTAAATCATCCTAGTCCACCTAGGCTCCCACCTAGTCTTTGCCTAGCCACCTACGCGCTAGAACCTAGCCCGCCACCCAACTAGCGCCTATGTCTTTTAGAACCTTGAGATATATTGTAATCAATTAGTGGCACATAAGAAAATATGTAAAAACATAAGTATACTGAAAAATCTCTAAGAAAATATCTCTTATATAAGATACTTACCATAATTTATGAACATCATAAAATTATAAAAAAAAAAAAAAAAGAAAGACATTCAATACATATGCTGGCATTAAACAGAGTTTAGGGACTAAAATCAATTTTTAATCTTGTATAAGACATTTTTCTAAGTTTCATCTTATTTAAGGATTAAAATCTAGTTTTTTTATTTAAAAAAATAGTGATATTCACACACCACTTATATAATAACACATAATGTGCCACCGTTACAAAGAACAAATGATTTCAAAGAGTGGTGAGATACTTATGTTAAAAAATTAATAACTAAAATAATAAAATTTTCTACCGCTTATATAATAACACATGATGTGCCACCATATTGCAGGCACAATATAAAATTTCTTCCCGTTTAGGTCTTGGCCAATGAACCTTGAAGTCCATGACTAATTTCAAATCCAAATTATTTCTCAGAGTAATTGACTTTTAATTCAATCTCTTCATAATTAACTATTTAATTGATATTTTTTAAATAAGGGGGTCAGAAACCCCCACAAAAATAAGAAACAACATTTGAATTGACAAAACAAGACTTGAGGATCCCTAAGCAATCCTCTATCAACACCATCTCAATCCACATAGATGATCATGAAAAGCACAAACCTCCAAGTCGGCATTGTAGCTCAAGTTAGCTAAACGATCAGCAAAAGAATTCTTCTCCCTGAAAATATAAACCAACTGATAACTCTCCAGCTGACTCCTCATATTTCTGCAGCTGCTCACAATTGTATGGAGAAGATGAAAATCATTTGCCATATTTTGCTTAATCAAGTTGACACACCCACACAATTCATCTCAATAATAAGTCTATATACACGTTTGTTAAAGCTTAAGTCCAAAATACAAACGCCAAATCTCTACCTCCATAACTTGTCCCTGCTCCAAATTAGCAGAAAATCTCCATAACCTATCACCACAACGATCTCTAAGAACTCCACCATCCCCAATTTCCCTAAAAGTAAAGGAATAGAGATGAAACAGATAGAAACAAATTGTAAAAGAGATGAGTGAGTTACTCGAGCATTCAATTTCATCGTAACCAATCCAACTTATTTCTGGTAGTAAATTATTAGTGAATAATAATCCAAATTGACGATCTAGTTCCTTTAAATCATATTGTATCTATGGCATCTAGATTACTAATTGTATCCCTGGCATCTAGATTACTAAATATACTCTTATGCGCTAAGAATTTATGACATGTAAGATTAAACACAAAAAGAAAAAATTCATTAACGATTTGGACACTAATTAAGAGACCGCATGAAATTTACTGTGTAACCTCTAATATCAAGGACTTCATGACTTTAATTGCAAGAAGCTTGAAATGGCACACACTTAAATTTGCATTAGATAAACTTGACTAAACCAAGTTTGTAGCCAATCAACAAGATAATAATCAAGCGTATAATCCACAACAAAAGAAACTCAATACTAAATTCATTTATTGACAACGGCTTAAAGTTGTCTCCTGAATAATGACCAATTGTCTCTTCTTTTCCCTCTTCTGTTTCCCTTTTCTTCTCCCCAACTGACAACGGCTTAAAGTTCATTTATTGACAACATTAGAAGATAAAAAACAGAAAACCTCTTCAATGATATGCTCGCCACTTTGTACATTAATCATATCTTGATTAATTTCTCGATTTGACAATGTCTTCTCTTGTGGCTTTGATCTGCTTGCTGCTGATTACCGCAATGTTGCCTTCTTTAATTATTCGCTGCTCTCCTTCTCTCTGCCTGTGATTGCCTCCCCTTTTTTTCTACTTTTCCCATGCAAATGAACTATCATTTGGATGCATGCCGTCTCTAGCTAAATGTATTTTCAAACAATGCAAACCTAAACATACATATATATAACTTAATGTAATATAAAATCAATTCAAAATAGCTCTTGTAGAATAATAATACTAAATGTATTTTCTAAATACGAAATCTTACCATTATAATAGAATTGCTATATAATATCTAATATTGTGTTATTTGATTTTTAAAGTACAACTCCAACAATCATTACCACCACTACTCTCACCACTACCACAACTCTCTCCTCCAGTATCGCTGCCATCTTTACCACTACCACCTCCCACTACCATTGCCGTCATTATCACTACTACCATCACCGCCACTATATATCTCCATGTCGTCACCTTTGCCACCATGGCCAACACAACCTCTACCATCTTCGCCATCATCACTGTCACCAGCTGTTAATCAACGTCGCCTATGCCACCCCTCTCTAGCATTGTTACCACAACCACTTTCTACCGCTATCGCCGGCCGTCACCACAATTCCTACTACCAGTCTACCATTGCCCTTTTTCCACTCCACTATTGTCACTATCTAGTGGGCGTGTCCCCATCACTAATACCAGCAACCTAACCACCATTGCTTCCAACCCAACTCTTGCCATAATCACCATCTCCAGCAACACCACCATTATTTTATACATTACAAAGATATTACTATCAAACACAAAATTATTAGCTTTTGACATTATCTATGTATCTGAATACTAGATACGTTTTTAATATTTTCCTTTTAAAAAAAAAAATTCATTATTAAATTAAACCAGCATATACATTATCTAATGATAAAAATACAAAATTGTATTTGTCTTTTGAGTCCCCAATTCGACTTGCTTATGTGGTCCACTAAGTTTAAGACACCTGCTATTATAAGAATTAACACACAACCAAACACCTCCTTTCTTCCTCTCTGCAACTTTTTCTCCATTTTTCCTCCACCTTCCTTCGTCTAGGACCCAATCACCATGGCTGCCATTTATCATACTTGCAAATAAAATAAAATAAAATCAATTCTCTTAAAGATGAACAAAATCAGACACTTGGCAGCCTCCTTGCTCTGCTCGACCTTTCAGAGCGAGGTTGTCTCTGTTCCTGACCTTGCGTTGCTCGAGCTCATGACTGCCTGGATTTCGCAGTTGATGGCCTCAGATTTCTTTCGTAAACTAGAGCTCGTCAAGTGCCTCTAGAACTCGTCATGTGCCTCTAGAACTCGTCGAGCCTTGGCAGAGTTTAACGAGCCTTGGTGGTCTTCAACGAGCAAATCGTTCTACATTTCGATCTCTGCCTCATGCACCGGCCTTAAGTGTGCTGATACGGTGTTTGTTAAAATGTCTCAGTGAAATTCAAAGCAGATTATATATGTTTTTCCTAGTTTTCAAGATTTGAAAACAGTTGCCTGAATTCCGTACCAAGCAAGTTTTTTTGGTATAATAATTGTATGTGAAAACTTGTTCATGGTCCCGACTTCTCCTTTGCAAGTGTGGTATAACCTTCTTTTTGCTTTTACCATGCAGATTTCTCCAAAAGAAAAAGAAAACCAAAAGATTTGCATACTGCTCTGTTTTTCTTCAAGCCTAGTCTCGATCACGAGCTAAGGTATGACCTATTGTTTCATTTTTTTAATTTCATCTGCTTTAAAAATAGAGGATTCCTTTCTCGTGTCTTGACATTTTTTTTATTTTTTTTATTTTGGATTCGTATATATTCTACAGATCGGAGAAGCAGACGAATTGATAAGCTGAAGGTGCCATGGCGATGGAGATACTCACTGCAATTATTCCTACAATAATTGACTACACAATTAGACCACTTGGACGGCAAGTGAGTTATGTCATTTTCTGCAAAAGCAACCTTAAAGATCTAAGAAGTACATTGAAGAATTTTGATGCTGTCAAAGTTAGGATGAAGCATGCAGTTGAGGAAGTCGAAAGAAAAGTTCATCAAAAAGTGGAAACTGATGTCCTGAACTGGCAGACAGAAGCGGATGAGATCACTCGAGAGGCAGAAACACTCTTGCATGATGAAGGCCGTGCAAAGACGAAGTGTCTCATTGTATGTCCTAATCTGATATCCTATCATCAACGTAGCAGGAAGGCAACAAAACTGATGAAAAAGATTGAAGAACATGAAAATAAAAAAAAAGAGTTTTCGAGTGTTTCTTACGAAGCTCCCGTAGAAGACGTATCTGCCATAGCCTCCGACGAGTACATGGCCTTTGAATCAAGGATTTCTAAGGTGAAGGTTATCATTACAGAACTGAAAAAACCTGATATCAACAGGATTGGGGTGTACGGATTATGGGGCGTTGGGAAGACAACACTTGCCAAAGAGGTTTACAGAGAAGCTGTGAAACAGAAGTTATTTGATGATGTGGTTATAATACTAAATGTCAAAGAAAAAAAAGACAACGAAAAAATTCAAAAAGAAATTGCCAAAAAGTTGAGGATGGACGTTGATGAATCTGAGGATATGGCAACAAGGGCGAATCTCCTACGAGCCAGGATAAAAGATGGGAAGACTCTTGTCATTTTAGATGATGTTTTGGAAAGAATTGACTTTGAGGATATGGGACTCGTCGGTGTGCCGAACTGTAATTTATTGTTGACTTCTAGAGAAAGAAAAGTTTTATTCAATGATATGCGTATGCAAAACAATTTTGAACTTGGATTTTTAACAGAAAAAGAAAGTTGGAATTTGTTTGAGAAGATGGCAGGTGATGTTAAAGACAACCGTATACTGAAGGAAGCAACCCAGCTAGCAAAGAAATGTGGTGGTTTGCCGGTTTTGGTTGTTGCAGTTGCAAGTGCTTTAAGGGATAGTAGTTTGGACGAATGGAAAGTTGCGTTGGGAAGTTTCGAAAGATTTGACGAGAAAGAGTTGAATGAAAAAGCATTCTTGGCTCTAAAGTGGAGTTACGAACGATTGGAGGAAGAGCTTAAGCAATTGTTCTTGCTTTGTGGAATTTGCAGCAATTTTCTCAGTGACTTGTTGAAGTATAGTATGGGTTTGGGTTTGATAAAAAATGTTGAGACAGTGGAAGAGGCACGGACTTCATTGAATGGAATGGTTAAAAAATTAAAAAATTCTTGCCTATTGCAGGACAGCTATGACGATAGAACTGTTAGAATGCATGAACTTGTACGATATGTTGCTGTCCGGATTGCAACTGATGATCAAAATGCCTTTTCAAAAGCATATGGAGATGAGGTGAAACGATGGCCAACTGTGGATTTCCTTAAAAAAAGCACAAGGATTTCCTTAAGACAATGCAAGATCCCCAATAAGTTTCCTGAAGTACCTTGGGAATGCCCAGAATTAAATTTGTTGATCTTGTCCGATAATAGTATGGGCGACTCCCAGGAAATCCCAAGCAATTTTTTTGAAGGGATGAAAAAACTCAAAGTGTTGGATGTCAGTGGAATTCGTATTCCGTCGCTACCTCCGTCTCTTCTATCCCTAAAGCATCTCCAGACATTGTGTTTAGATCGGTGCGAGTTGGTAGACATAACTCTTGTTGGACAGCTAACAAACTTGAAAATTCTTAGCCTCCTAGAGTCCAAGATTAAAGAGTTGCCCAAAGAAATAGGGCAATTGACTCGGCTACAATTATTGGATTTGACCGGTTGCTCTGAACTTGTTCTGATCTCACCTGGTGTTATATCAAGCTTGACAAAACTAGAAGACTTGAGGATGGGTATAAAAAGCTTCAAGCGATGGGAGGGTGAAGGTCCTACTAGCGGAGGCAGTAATGCTACTATTTCGGAGCTGAAGCACTTGGCTGAACTAACTGCATTAGACATACATGTTCCAGATGCTAACCTTCTTCCAGCCAACTTGTTCTCCGATAAGTTACAAAGATACACCATACTCATCGGTGATTGTTGGGAGTATCCTAACACGTACGGAACCTCCTCTAACATGCTAAAACTCAAGCTTACAGGGAGAAATCAATTCGACCAAGGTATAAGGTTGTTGGTAAAGAAATGTGAGCAATTGTACTTGGATGGGATGGAGATTGTGAATATTATTTCTTATCTATTTAACAGTGAAGCTGTTAATCAACTGAAGCATTTCCATGTCCAAAACAACGACGAAGTTAAATATGTCATTGACTCCGTCAATTGGAGTTATTCACATAATGCCTTCTCCTGCCTGGAATCTCTAGCTCTTGAAGACCTTGTGAGTTTGGAAAGTGTATGTTATGGGCAACTCATAGGCGAATCTTTCCGAAAGTTAAAATCTTTGAGACTTCGGAATCTACCGAAGCTTATTGGTTTCTCTTCCGAAGGCAAGCAATTAACGATTGCTACAGAAGCCGACGAAATCGTCAAGGAGGATGAAGTTGGTGGACCATCGAGACTGTTCAATAATGGGGAGGTACTTTCTCTGTTATTTTTATAGCAAAATAGTTGCATGATTCTTTTTCACTATACTTTTCTTCTTCGAATTTCGACCATATAATTCCTTCGTGTTTTAAATTAGAAAAATATTTAAATGGTATGTTAAATATGGTTTCTTTCGTGTTTTAATTTTCAAATGTTTTCCTTAGACAAAACCATTTATTTTCCCATGTTGTATGTCATTTCATGTCCATTCACTCAACCAAACCTAATGGTGTTAACTCCAAATAAAATAATAAAATAAAAAATCAGAGCGTAGCCCAGCGTACTGTGTACCTCTCCCATTTCCCTTCCATCCCAACGCCATCAATCACCGCCCCCTCCCTCGTGGACCACCACCTCTCCCAAGCACAGCAGCAGCATCTCCCTTGATGACGTCATAGAGATCGCGAAGGTTATGAGGAACAGATCCATGGCCGAAGGAGCTCGCGGGAACGGTCATCGGCAAGGACCCCAAGGATTTGCAATAGGAGATCGTTGTGGTGACATCGAGATCCCTCTCGATCAACAAGGGTGTAAATTCAACGAATTTTGCACCTAAAAGAAATTTCAGGGGAAACACTCATATTCACAAATCTGACAGCCCAAAAGGGATTTATTCTTTGCAGGAGCAGTTAAATTGAGGGGCGAGGCTTTTGGGTTTGATTTATGGATTTAAAGTGTGGAGATGCAATTGATATTGCTGCTGTTGTGTTTGGGGAAGTGAGAGGAAGAGAGAGGAGGATGAGCGGCTTCTTTTTTCTTACTTTTGTTCTTATTTTTATTTAATTTTCTTGGGAGTTGAGAGGGTTATGATAGGGTTACGCTTGTTGGGGGTGTCAAGTAACGGGACATGCTATAGAAAGACAACACCTATTTTAGATGTAGAAAATTTGAACTTATTCTTAATAATCAGAACAATCCATCATTTGTCATCACAATTTCATTGTATCAATTTAAGTAAAATAGTTTGAATTTGGAATTAAATTGACTCAATTTTGGCCTTATATAGTTTTATTACTCCAATTTGTTTTTGCTAATTAATGAAAGTAGAAAGTAAGTGGCCTTTTATTGTAGTGGTAGAAATGAATTGAGCTCTTACATATCAATGTGAGTTCAAACCTCATTGGCTGTAAAAAAAAATTTTGACCCAAAAAAATATATCTTTTGACCAATTTTTTTTTATAATGAAAATAGAAACGCTTACAGCTGTCTAGTAGCCTAGTAGCTTATTTAATATATGACCTTTACTTTATATCTACACATGTGGAACATGTACCGCTACAACAATGTAAATAGTAATTTTCTAAAATAAACATGAATTTTGTTCTATACTGTGCAGGTTTCGATGCTAACGACCTTGACTGTGCATGGATGTGATAGTCTAAGATTCTTGTTTTCGAGTTCCATGGCTAAATGTCTCAGACAACTCAAACATCTCAAGATATCTAAATGTCAAGCACTACAAATGGTATATGAGACATATCATCTACCAACTCAGTTGAATAGTTTTGAGTGCTCAAATCTAAGCTCAATTGAGATAGACTCATGTGATGGTTTGGAAAATGTCTTTCCCGCCTCAGTGGCCAAAGATCTTAAGCAGCTAAGCAAGTTGAAGGTTAAGAATTGTGGTTTAATGGAGGTTGTTGTGAAGGAAGAAGGACCACAAACAACATACGAGTTCGGGTTCCCTAAGGTAACATTTATGGAACTTGATAATCTGCCCCAACTTCGGAGTTTCTATTCAGGATTTCATGTTTGTAATTGGCCATCACTCAACACATTAAAGTTCACGAAATGTGGTGGTGTGGAGATTTTTGCTGCTGAATTTTCAACATATCGAGACAAGTCTGTGTTGGGCCACTCAAGATCAACGGAACAACCTTTCTTTTTAATTGAGAAGGTAACCATATTTGTACACAACTCTTGATATTCGAAATTTTATGTGATTTTTACATACTAGTTAAACATACACCATCAAGTAAATACAGTTATTATGTTTTTAATATTAAAGTTATTATGTGGTGTCCAGTTTTTTCAAAATATTTTAAAGCATGCTCTTACCGTTGATTATATTTCAGGATAAGTCATTCCTCAACTTGGAATACTTGGTTTTGGACGAGAACACAGAGATTTTGTATGGTCCACTCCCGGCAGAGTTGTTGAGAAAACTAAAAGGAATTGGTTTTGCTACTTCACATCCCAAGTCGGATGATTTCTTTGAGAATTTACAGAATATTGAACGGCTCCGTGTGCTCTCTGCTCCTTGGAAAGAATTAATTGTCCACGACCACCAAGGAAGTAGTAGCGGGGAAATACATGAAGTTAAGACCCTCCCACGTGTAAAGAGTTTGTGGCTGTGCAATATGCCGGAGCTGATACATCTAGGAAAGGAGAACTCCCAACCAGGGGGCCCTGTTTTTCCAAACTTGGAATTTCTATGCCTAAAAAAATGTGGCAGATTAGAGAATCTAGCTTCAGCTTTGATATCCTTTCGGAATCTAACCACTTTGACCATATTGGATTGTCACGGACTGCAATACTTAATACCTTATTCTGTGGCTAAGAATCTGCAGCACCTCAAGAAGTTGGTAGTTAAATCCTGTGAAAGAATGGTAGAAATAGTGGCAAGCAACGAAAATGATTCAGAAAATGAGATTACTTTCAATTGCTTGAAAGATTTGCAACTTTCTGGTCTACCAAGTCTGCAAGGATTTTGCAAGGGAAATTGCATTTTCAAAGTCCCATCCTTACCCACTTTGATTGTCGAGGACTGCCGGCTGATCAAGTTAAAGATTTCTCCTGATGGGTTACTCCAAAGTGATGATGCACTAATTAAGCATGATTGTGATCAAACGGTAAGTTCTTCATTCACTAATTAAGCATCTATTAATTTCACTCTCCAATTTTTCATCTTTTTCTGAACCTTGAACCGTTAAAATTAAAAGTCTGATTTATTCATCTTATTCATAGTTCTTCAGTCAGATTTCTTATTGAACAGTTTGCGTGTTTATTTGTAATCGTCAACTAAATATATATTTTTACAGGACCAGCTGATGATTGCAGATACAAATTTAGATGTTACAATTGTAACACCCTCTACCAAAGAAGAATCCTCATTTTTTGGAGGGCATGTTAAGTTTTTCCGGGTGTGTGTGATTGCTTGTTTGTGTGTTGTATTCTTCTTTCTTTGGTTTTTCCTTTTAAAGGAAGAAATATCATCCTCGGGAGCAGACTGGAAGGCTCTCTGATCTATTGGACCACACAACACATTCCCCAGAAATCACATTGGTATGACCAAATTTTTTGGATAGAGACAACTATGCTACTTGATGTCGTGCTATGACTGTTAGTCGTAGTTCCAAGAACAAGATGGGCACTGCTCTTATTGTCAGTGACCGCCATATTGGATTTAAGCTGGCAAAGCTTCCTCCTCAAGGAAGAAGCCTTGGTTATGTGATTTCTGTGGGCTAGAGGCCAGTTCTAGCCTTGGTTATATGATTGCTTGGACCTTTTTGGCTTCGGCGTTACTGTGGTGGTTGAATCAGGGGCATTGGAGATCCTGAAGATGCAGGCTATGTTGCCTTTAGCGTTATTGTGGTTGCTACTTTCAGTATACTTCTTTCTAATTTCTCTTGTTGCTGTGACTATTCTCTGTTCACCCCTCAACGGTCTGTGCCCAGCTTCGTATCCGAGGCCGATCTCATCTTGTTTGATATAAGCCTGCAAGCTACGGCATCAACTGAAAGGGTATCCCAGAAACTTGTGTGATTTGGGTAGGCACTGATACATATTCCAAGTCATGTTATGCTTGTGTTGATTTGTTAGTGTTTCGTGGTAAAAGTGTGATTTGTATTTGGAGCTTTATTCACTACATTTTCGGTATTTGTTGTTTGGGAAATAATGCTAGTGTGATTTCTGTAAACATTGAAGCATTTGAAGTGGTGCTTGTATGCACTTGTCTACCGAAACTGCTTTGTACTAGAGAGTGCTTATTCTTTACTAAAATCGGATCAATAGAATCGCATCTTTTAACTGGATGTGCGTACGTGTGCATATTTTTCTTTTTCGTTCGGAAAGAAAGCTAGATTTCATTGGTTGGAGTACAATTTTTTCAGAGAGCTCCTAAAATGATTTTTTTGTATAGTTTTAGCTAAAACTTTGCTACAAAATAGAGAGCACTGGTAAATATGCCCGCGCGTTGTTGCGGGACTTCAATGCACCAACCTTAACTACATTAGTACTATATAAATGAAAACACAATTGAAACCCATCAAACAAAACAATCCCACAATTTAAATGATTCAATCCTACTACAATTGAAATTCACTGAAAGAATGAAAAACCAAAACAAAACTGCAGCACCTAAACAGTTGTCATACATAAAAACATATCAAGAAATCTAGTTCGTTAATTTCCAACTGCGAAGTGGCATTATGTAACTTTAGTAGTATAACTAATTAACTACCTATCTGGTGGGTTGCACTTTTATTCCAATTGGTAAGGAAATGAAAACAAAAATCAACCCCTTGGTCTTAGTTGTTTTAGCAAAACACTTAAATAAATTAAATTCTGAAATGTAAATTACATTCCTATAACTTCAAGATGCACATATAGTATTGTTGAAGTCAAACTGAAAGCACTGACAATTCCAAGCAACAGAGCAGCAATTATTAAGAGCCAAAACTCATTCCTAGTCTCCTCATCCATAAATCTTCATAAATCTTCATAAAACTCATTCCTAGTCTCCTCATTCCTAGTACTCAACTCCATAAATCTTCGGTCAGCATCGTTGACTGAAATTAGGAGAGAAAAAGAAAAGGAATTTCAGAAATTGTCTATGAAGCAAAGGATTTTGCAGTTACTTCAAGATATGTAAATTGCATATGTATAAAGTAATTTTCTACATAAAGTAATGAGGCTTAAGATGTTGTAGATAGGATAAACGCCAAATGCTACAACGAAGTTTCTATAGAGTATTTTACATCTAAATGCTATCTTAAATTGCCATCTAGTATTTTACAATTTGCTGCACTGGGTTGTATACAATAAGAAATAGGCATACTATTTTTATGGTATGGGTTACCAGATATGTAAACGATCAATATGGTGTACGTGAATGTGAATGGTAGCTCTCTTAAATTGTAAGAAATGCCAATATATCATGTATAAGTGCCCTTTATAAATTGACATCGTTAGAGATTTTTTGTGCAAGAGAGCTACTGTATAAGTGCCCCATATAAATGTGATTATGCAAAAGATATGTTGGCATTTCTTACAGTGAACTTATCTCATATGGCATGTATTACATTTCGAGGTCCTCATTAACACTTGAAAAATCTTGGACACATAAAGCTGAAAAATGCAAATAAGTAAATTGCTTTGAAAAATATATTAGGATGATATTACCTTAGCAATCACAACTTATTTGCATCTTGCCAAATCTCTCGGACTCGGATTTAAAAATTTTCGACATTGTATTACCAGGAGGACCCAATTGGCCTGATTAAAAAGCACTCCTTTCCCAAAACCTTTGAACTGTTCAGAGTCCATATTCCAGAAAACAAATGCTAATCAATAACCAATTAATACTGGGTAATCATTGAAATTGAAGTCCAGAATTCATTAATGTCAAATTTACAGCCAAATGAGCAATCAATGGACTTAACTGTAAGGAAAAATGTGCACAGAAAAGTATCTAATTTCACAAAATAAATGAAACCATATCAAATGTCATGATATAAACTCAGAACTCGAAAGTTTAAGCAAAACTCACTCTCAACAATGTTGTAAAAAATAAAAAAATAAAAAATACAAAAAAGCCTTTTCATTCATAATATGAAGTAATCCAAAATTGCAAGCAATAAAACGCTCCAATCAAAAAAGCTCTGCAAGGTAATGAAATTGCCCATGAATATCGCCACAAATTGTCACTGGCATTTTCACAGGCATGCAAATAAATAATAATAAGTGTCTACCCATACAATTTGAAAGATACACCAGCGTCACCAATTCAAAATGAAAGACAATAATGACGTTTTTTTCCCATACCAAATGCAATAACAGTGAAATATGTAATGTAACACATATAATAAGACACTAAAGAAACCAAAATTTTCACCTGAGCATTGCTTTCACCCATTAGAATTTCCTTTACTTTCTCGCATAATGTTCTCACCTACAATGAAGCAATGAAGAAACAATCATGTACAGATAGACGGTAAAAGTCCCAGATTATACTTTAGTTCAGATAGTTTTGTATGTGTATCAGATAATTCATTTTGAAAAAAACAACTGCCTTATCTTAGAGTAGCAATACAACCGCCTTATCTATAGTCAATGGCTAAAATATTTATAGGATCCAATCCATTTTTAAAATAAATGAGAAGCATGTTATAAGACAATTTGGTTCTTCACCTAATCAGCTCAAAGTTCCCTCACCAAAATAAATTCTTCGAATGAAGTACCCCCTCTTTTTATGCCATCTATAACTAATTTCATGTCATTCCGAGAACGACCTATTTACCATTTCCCGCAAGATACAGATTAGATCTTGTAGTAAATTTAGACGAAGTAAGGCATTTGATTTAAAATCACAATAAACAGAACCTGAATTACATCACTACAAACACAAATAAAATAAAATAAAATATTTTCCCATTTGGTGGCTCAGAAAACCAAAAAAAGTATATAACTTTTTTTCCTTAAGAAAATACACAAAAAAATTCCACTAGAAATTGCAATTCCCACAAATCCAACAACAAATCAACGAACCCCATGACCCCATTTTCTTTCCCACATTTTCCAGACAACCAAACAGACCCTAACCCAACCTAATTCTGAAATCACTCAACAATGGGTGGGGAACGCATTTATATAAGATGAAATTAGAATTTGGGTTGGAGAGAGTTACCGGCAGTGTCCCATAAGCCTAAGTTCGCAGTTGTGCCTTCAACCACCACAATTGCACTGAAGTTATCAAACACAGTTGCACAGTTGTTATCAAACACGGTTGGAGAGAGTTACCGGCATAGTCCTGATGAACACAAAAACAATTGAAAAACAAAATCAAATTACTTGGAAAGGGAAAAGGGGAAAAAGCAAAGCAATTTGTCTAGAGAGAAGAAAGAGAGAGAGAGAGAGGGGGAGATTTGCAAATTAAAATCTTGAAAACAACAGAAAAAGCTACAAAACTAGATGCATAAATACATAAAGTAATTCAAAAAACCAAAAAGTTACAAATTAGTCAAATGTGAGACCCAGAAGGATCTTCTTCGCAGAAAATAAATAAAAGAGTAAATTGTAGAAAATATTTCTCAACTTTAATCAAATTAGAGCAGTGGTTTAAAAATTCATTACCATTGATCTCTCAACTCATCAAAATGTATAGTCATGGTCATTTTCGTCAACTTCGTTAGAATTTTGTCAAAATAAGTTATGTTGAAAATACCATAATTGGGGTCTATTAACTAATCAAAACGTGCAGCTATGGTCTTTTTCGTTAACTTTATTAAAATTTTGTCAAAATAAGTTATGTTGGAATAATCATTGCTACAATTGGGTTAAAGTTTGAGGCATCATTGCTCCAATTGAGTTAAAATTGAGGGACCGTTTCTTCAATTAGAATAAAGTTGAGGGACCATAGCTGCACGTTTTGATAAGTTCAGGGATCAAAGATAATGAATTTTTAGTTAAGAGATCATTGCTCCAATTAAGTAAAAGTTAAGGAACTATTACTATAATTTACTCTAAATAAAAATCGTGAGAAGAATGGGCAAACATGGAGCCTGACCTCGGCAGCGGGGCAGCCTGTGAGAGCAGCTAAGAGAACAAAACAACCCTAGTTTTAAGAATGGCACACGCGTTCCCCTTAAACCCAACCACACCCCCCCAATGGCACAGCCTACCCACATACTTCTCCCTTACTTTTTCTCCATAAACCCATACCTCCATCCTGAAAATCCTCTACCCTAGGCCCCATACTCCCCCCATCTCTCTCTCTCTCTCTCTCTCTCTCTCTCTCTCTCTCTCTCTCTCTCTCTGTAATAGACCAAATTGCAGAAAACCCTCTGAGCCATCAAATCGACCTACCCCTAACCCAAGTTACAAAATGACTAAAATGCCCCCAAATCCTGTATGTTGGATACGATTTAAGCACGTTCAAAACCAGTAGCTCCTTCAAATTTTTTTCTAAAAGAAAAAAAGGAAAAGTGATCACTGATATTGTGCATCCAATATACTGGTTTCTTGTCTGCCTTCTCCTCCTAACCCTTTTATCAAAAATCCAACTCATTCTTTCCCACGGAGACTTGAAACCCAATCCTTAACAGTCCATAACCCCCAATATCAACTCCCAACAAAATAAATGCGAAAAGCAAAATCAGCAGCTTTCAAATATTTTAAGGGAAAAGTGAACGAAATGTATTCATCAATGATCTAACATACCAGGGACATCATACAAAAATTCAAGTACACCCCATAAACCACCACTGTTTCTGATTCACCTCTCCTTCGAGCTTTTCGATTACAAATTTATAATTGAACAATCCATTTCGAATCATATATACATAGGCAGAAAAGCAAAAACTAAACTCCCACACATAAATTAATCAGTAACCAAACAAAGCAAAAATCTTGGAGACCAGAACAACCCCAATTGAATTTTCATGCAAGTTATTGTCATTGAAATATAAAATATATATATATATTTAAGTGCCCAAAATTTAAGCTTTACACCATATTCTGTTCTTCTAACAGACACAGTTCTTTGGCCTTTAGGTAGTTTCTGTGGCTTTTGATCAAAAGTTGTACTTACAAAAAGTAAAATAGTCGATTGTAGCCATTGTATTGCATAATATGCCTACTTCATATAATTGCTAATAAACGAACAATTCCTTTCTTTACTGACATTAAAAGGAACATCAATTCCATATAATGTCCATTGCTTTCATTCTCAAGCACACACCATAGACAAACTAACGAAGGATTCAAAACTTCAATGAACTAATCAATGTCATTTTATATTTACTAATTGCTATAACTCAAAAGCGCGGAATTGTCTTCAACTTTTTTCTCAATTCTTTGTACAACCAATCATAACAAAAGAAGGAAGAGGATGATGCTTACCTCCTTATCGTTGATCACATGCATCTCCTTGATTAGTCTATTATCTTCCCATGCTTCTCAAATTACTGAACGAAGGTATCCATGACCAGATAATACAAGAGACACACTGCACAAAGAGATAAGCAAAATTTGATGAAAACCGACCAATATTCCAAAGCATAACAAAGTTAGAAGCCGTTAACGAAGTCCATTGAGCATCAAAATTCACCAAAATTCATATCAATTGTCCCATGATATTTTAAATTCAAAAAAAATATTCTAGACAGCAAAACACTATCAAACTAACATGAACAAAGAAATCGCTAATAACAACAAACGGGGAAAATTACAGAACTTGGGTATTGCCCAAAACCCCATCATGTTCTCAATTCCAACAAAATTCATTTAAGCACAAAAGTTTAGGCATTCACCAGTGGTCCGACTTGAACGGCGTTGTGGATTTAGCATTCCTCTGGTGGGTTAAAGCGTCACCATCAATCAAGCCTCCCTGTAAAGAAAAAATTTAGAAGTCATTATTTGAATAGATGCAAACCTTCCCCATATGATGCAAACCTTCCCCATCATGTTCTCAATTCCAACAAAATACATTTAAGCACAAAAGTTTAGGCATTCACCAGTGGTCCGACTTGAAGGCGTTGTGGATTTAGCATTCCTCTTGTGGGTTAAAGCGTCACCATCAATCAAGCTTCCCTGTAAAGACAAAACATAGAAGTCATTATTTGAATAGATGCAAACCTTCCCCATTTTGACAGTAAGAATAGCAGAGTGTGACATAACCATTCTGAAAACTATAGTAGCAGGTTTCCAAATCGTTGAAGATAAAGAAATTCACAGAAAGAGAGAAAGAAAGGGATAAAGTAATACAAACCCCAGATCGACTGGCGTTGATCCTCTGGATTCCCTCATTATCGTAGCACAAATCGAGAAAAGCATATATACAATGACATTTTATCAGCTACTGGTTGGACCACGTTTATTACCTGCCATAAATGGAGAAACAATTTGGTATAAGAATCTGATAAGAATCTCATACCACAAAACTTCTTCAGTTTGGGCCTAAACAACTACAAACAAAAAAATCCCCAAGATACATACTTTCATCCAAATCATCCACTGCCATTAACAAAACCACACCCTATATCTTCCTTTAGCTAAAGACTAAAAGAGTGAACTTATCACCCAAATAAAATAGGTAGATTAACGAATGTGAGTTAAAAAGTGGAAGAAAGCAACAAAACCAATCAAACAACGAATTGTCAATAGAATAAAACAACAAATATAGATATATGAATCAAAGTTTTTTTTTTTTTTTTTTTTTGTCAAATGAAGACTTAAATGTCACTCAACATTGTTTCTAATCGCAGCTTTCTCTCTACCTGTAAAGCATGGTTGTCTTAGCCAAACACACATTTTGATCATGCAGAATCGAGACGTTATCTTCTAACAACAGATATGGAAAATATTATTGAATCATTAAATGTTGAAATTACCAATCAAATACAGATAAACCACCACCAGCAACCAAAACAGGTGGGTTTTTTTTAAATGAAATTATACAACCCAAGCAGCAACCAGTTCTTTTGAACTGCACGTCTGTAAAAAACGTAAAAAACATAAGTACGGATATATTATAGAGAAACAATCACTAAATTTCTAACATCACCGGCATTCACAACATTAAGCATGTAGGGAAACTATTTCATTTCATTTTAATTTTAGGTGACACAACTGATGCAAGAAAGGGTCGAGCAAGTAGCATGGCATCAAGAATAAAGGAAGATATTTAGGATGGAACAATTAAAAGTTTTTGTAAACCATTAAATTTATGCTTAGTGACTCAGAATATCTGCGTGCTACAAAATTACGATAACTAGAGGTCTCTGGTTGGCTCGAGAACTCTGGAGACACGAAAATCTCAGGGGTGTGATTTAAGCGTCAAACAAACTCTTTCTCTCTCTTTGCAACCAATTTTAATTAAAAAAAAATCCAAATCACGAGAACCGACTAAAAAGGTCAACAAAAAGGAAAATTTATGCATCTAGACATAGTAGGGAAAAACATGAACTCAGAATGAAACATAATTTTTTTTCTTCTAATAAGCATAAGAAACAGAACATTTTCATTTAACAATAACCTTGAAAATGTCTTTCTATTCAAGTATGTTGGCCCAAAATTAAAACTGATATATGATTTTAAATAATTTACTTTGTAGCGATCATTAACATTACAAATTTTTAGAAGTTATGTAGACAGATTTGTATAGTTGCATCAGGCTCCTCAGTTTCCAATTGACTTCCAATTTATGGTCTACTGCCCTTCTTTTTCAGACAATAAATCTAGGGAATTGTTAGTAGCACTCCAAAAATCTCATTCTACACTCCAAACTTTCTATATTAGGAAAGAAAAGTACACTTGTGAGGAGTATAGAATGAGATTTTTGGAATGCCAATAACACTTCTCTAAATCTAAAACATTTATATAACCAAATGCATCTGATAATAGAAAACTACATAAGTTTCCTAGGAAAGTGCACATTCACATAGCAAAGTGTTGCGTGGGAAAATGTATCTAAAAAAAGTATAATAGGGTACCTCATTTGCATTATATTTCAAGCGTGTAGCAGGATAGGCTTCAGGAAGTAATCTTTCTTCTGCTATTTCCTTCACAGTTTGTAACTCATTCGTGAGTTTCATTGCAAGGCAATCAAAAGAATATAAATATATTATAGTTCATTTTTATGACACAACAACAAAGTTATAATTTATCTGCTAAATTATCAAGGAATATCATATATAAATGACAAAACCCAATTATAGTTATTGCAATGATTTCAGCTTTGTTTATTTTTCTTTTATAATGGTTTTGTATATGTGTTAATTTCTTATAAACTATTATTCGGTTGAGTCTATAATCTTCAATCGAACATTCCAACCATCAAAACCAAAAATCTTTGATCCATTCAAACTAAGTATTAAATCTTCATGGCCAATAACTTCGCTTCCAAAATCCAATTCACCA